GTTATAATGCATTACTGTACACTTGAACAACTAAGGTCTTTAACCAGATTTTGTTTTAATGTGTTTTTTATGTATATTTTTTTTAACTACGATTATATATCTAAGAGTACAAGAATGACTTAGGCTGACACTGGACACTACAACATTATATACATCTTCTTGAACGAACACCCTGGCGAAATTTTCCAAATATCCCAACTGGAATTACGCTTTCCAATTAGACCAATTTGTGAGTAACTTGGGTAAATTGGGAGAATTAGGCAGGCGTAGAGAGAGGGAGGGAGAGACGGGCGTATTGATTGTGTGTGAGAGAGAGAGAGAGTATATATATATATATATATATATATATATATATATATATATATATATATATATATATATATATATATATATATATATATATATATATATATATATATATATATATATAGGGTATATATATATATATAGGGTATATATATATATATAGGGTATATATATATATATACTGTATATATATATATATACTGTATATATATATTAGGGTGGTCCAAAATATCACATATTTGTATACGTTTTCTCCACAAGGTTTATTTTTGTCCATTAGGTACAAAATGCATCCCAGAAAAAAATTGGATCATTTAAAGCATATTTAGAGGTCAATCCAATGTCCTCTTTTTTTCCATTTAGTACGTAATAAGGATTTTTCGGGGCTAGATAAACACATTATAAACACATTGTCTTTATTCAGCAAAATATACTATTTAGATTGATAATGAAATAATTGTAGAACTGATGAGATATAAATGAAATAAGTAACTTCATCTGATTAATGGTAACCCTTGTCTGTGTTTCCTGTTTCAACCTGTCATTGTCAGTCCCTATGACTCAATACTTGACTCTTTGCCCTTTCCAAATAGGCAACTAGGCTATATACATTGAAATATACCCAATATAATGTGTTGTGTATATTAAGACTGTATCATGCGGACAAGAAAATTCAGTCCTACACTACAAGTATAATATGCAAAATGGATTGACCTCTAAATGTTAATGAATATGGATAAAATTTTACAGACCTTATCTATGAACCAAATGGACAATTTTAAGGCTTGTGGAGGCAATATATTACTATTATATGTTTGAGAGAGAGAGAGAGTATATATATATATATATATATATATATATATATATATATATATATATATATATATATATATATATATATATATATATATATATATATATATATATATACAAAAATAAAAGAAAGGGAAGGTACAAGTCATATGATACTGAAGACAAGAGTAAGAGAAATGAGAGAAACTGATAAAAGAGAGAAGAGAGAGAATAATGGGTAAAGGAGACACCAAGACGGGAAATAGGAAAGGTTTAGGGATGTGGGTGATAAATGTACCGCCAAGAGGAGGTGAAGTTAATGTATGGTAAACATTTGGTACGTTTCACTCTCAGGCTTAACCTACAGTACGTAAGGATTTAGTGCATAGGATACACATCTGATGTCCTCCTTCAGGTTAGCTCATAGGAACTCTTCTACAGGTGTCCTTAGGATTGCTTGCCTGCTTCCCTGTACTGCATCTGATTTTAATCATTTGACCTTCAGAACTGACAGCATTTCTCATTAAACTGTTTCATAATGTATTTTTTTCTAATGTTAGTCTGTTTCTGAACACCACACAACGTTATCACCAAGTGTGCCACGGTGTAGCTTTAACCCCTTTGAGAAATATGGTTTAGCCCTCCAGGACTCAAAGGGTTAAGGCGGTGCTCCACGACTAAGTATAAGTGTTTTTTGTCGTTTTATAGTAATGATGAACAATTAGTATTCTTACCATTCATCGCCACCAAGTCTTAGCGATACCACATAACCTCCCCCACCCCCCCCACACACACTCTTTTCCGCTGTACAGTTTCCCTCTTTTGATGCTGTAAAATGTGATTATGTTGACGATCAGCATCTGTCAGTCAGCAGAAAGACTTGAAATGCTCGACAGGATTTTCTTTTTCCGGTTCGATGACGATAAAATCTCTGTCAGTCCCCACGTCATGTCGAGAGAGAGAGAGAGAGAGAGAGAGAGAGAGAGAGAGAGACCATCCGGCGAATTTCCGTGCACCGGTTCTGATTAGTGGTGGTCGGGCCCATTAATAAGATTACCAACTCCAAGGTCCGTGCTCTGCGGGAGACCACACACAAAATTCTGGGGACAGGAAATCCGAATCCGAATCCATGGCTTACTTGAACGACAACAAAAGACTCGGTGACCTTTGAGACGTTTCTCCTAATTTATAAAAAAAGTAAAAAAGAGGAGAGAATCAGCGAGGCAGGTCCCTAAATTGCTGACCTGTCGTGTCTGAGGTAAGCTCTGTCTCGGCTACTATATCCTCTGAGGGCGTCGATAATGTCTTCCGTCTACAGTACCTTGGTGGACGGGAGTGGGTAGAGCCTGGGCTGTGTCGCCGTGGTAGGTCAAACGGTCACTTGAATTATTTTGTTTGCTGAACTCTCGTGTTGATTGTGGAGAAATTGGTCAGCTTGGTGTGTGGCGGTGGAGAAGAGGGTGCGGGCAGCGGGAGGAGGGAGAGAGCCGTAGGAAGGGGGGGGGAGGCTAGGATAGTTGAGGAGGAGGAAGAGTAGAAGAGAAGAAAGAGAAAGTAGACAGCATCAGAGGGGGGGTAGAAAACACTAAAAGTAGATGAAGTGGAAGAAGAAGTAGGTGGGGAGGTGAAAGAGCCGGGAAAGTAAATAATGGATAGAAAACAACAGAGGAAGGGGAAGGGGGGAAGGAAGCAATAGAGGAAGAAGAAGGAAGGGGGGAACGACACAGGATGGGAAAGGATGGAGGGGAAACAATAGGGGAAGGGAGGGGGAGGAAGTAGCTTTGGAAGGGGAAGGGGAGGCGAGAGACAGAGTGAGGAAGAGGAGGACAACCTGTTAATGTTTCACTCACTCTTATTTCCCCCTCACTTTGTTTACTCCCCACCTGGTTTTCGTCCCAACTTCTCCCCTGCCCTTTGTTCACGTCGTCTAGTGTGTGTCTGTTGGGTTAGGGTGTGTGGGTTGTGGTCTGGTAGCCAGCTGGTAGGGCCCACCTGACCTTAAACCGGCCACCAATTTGATTCTACTTCCCGGAAATACCACAATAGCGTTAGGCAGCAGCGGGTGGGCGCACCGTGGCGTGGAAAGTCGTGGTACTGGATTTTGTGTTGTCCGAGTTTTATCAATAAAGAATTGTAACAGTAATCCGATTGGCTGTTGTGGACTGAATAAAAATGACTTGCGTGGATGAACTCTCTCGTGACCAAACACTGACCGGAAAAAGATGTCCGCTGTGACATTATAAACAAGCAAACTGGTGTTGACAGAGCCAACAATCCACAGCGTGCCAACACTGAGTCCCGAAGGTCACTGCCAGACGTAGCACATATACACTGCTGACTCCGGGGTGTGAGAGAGAGGTGAGGTCGGGTGGGGTGGGGTGAGGTTGAGGTGGGGTGCGGTGTGGCAACAGTGTGGTGTATCCACGCGGCTCATAACGGGGTATTAGATCTATAGGAACCACTTTCCCTTTTCTTCATTTCTGATTTATTTATGTTATTTATCAATATTGTTTATATGTATTAGTTATTAATGCTGCTTGTATATGTTAGTTTTCACTTTATATTTATAGGATCTGTTTATTTCTTTCCCGTGCAGTAGTTACACCTTACTTGGCCTAACGCTTGTATTTGAAGTCAATGATAATATAACAATGCCCAATAGGTTATATATTTATAGGGAGATGTGTTCAGTAAGGTAATGTTTATGGGAACAAGTTTTACCACTATTGACATTTACGATGAGTTGTGGTAGAGCAGTAACATGGTGGTGATGGTAGTGTGGAGGTGGATGTTAATGTGTGTTTCTTCTTCTTCAGGTAACATGGTGGTGATGGTAGTGTGGAGGTGGATGTTAATGTGTGTTTCTTCTTCTTCAGGTAACATGGTGGTGATGGTAGTGTGGAGGTGGATGTTAATGTGTGTTTCTTCTTCTTTAGGTAACATGGTGGTGATGGTAGTGTGGAGGTGGATGTTAATGTGTGTTTCTTCTTCTTTAGGTAACATGTGGTGGTGATGGTAGTGTGGAGGTGGATGTTAATGTGTGTTTCTTCTTCTTCAGGTAACATGAGTGGTGATGGTAGTGTGTGGAGGTGGATGTTAATGTGTGTTTCTTCTTCTTCAGGTAACATGGTGGTGATGGTAGTGTGGAGTGTGGATGTTAATGTGTGTTTCTTCTTCTTCAGGTAACATATGGTGTTGATGGTAGTGTGGAGGTGGATGTTGTGTATGTTTCTTCTTCTTCAGGTAACATGGTGGTGATGGTAGTGTGGAAGTGGATGTTAATATGTTTCTTCTTCTTCAGGTAACATGGTGGTGATGGTAGTGTAGGTGGATGTTAATGTGTGTTCTTCTTCTTCAGAGTAACATGGTGGTGATGGTAATTAATGAGTGGATGTTAATGTGTGTTTCTTCTTCTTCAGGTAACATAGTGGTGATGGTAGTGTGGAGGTAGATGTTAATGTGTGTTTCTTCTTCTTCAGAGTAACATGGTGTTGATGGTAGTGTGGAGGTGGATGTTAATGTGTATTTCTTCTTCTTTAGGTAACATGGTGGTGATGTGTAGTGTGAAATTGGATGTTAATGTGTGTTTCTTCTTCTTCCAGGTAACATGGTGGTGATGGTAGTGTGGAGGTGGATGTTAATGTGTGTTTCTTCTTCTTTAGGTAACATGGTGGTGATGGCTGTGTGGAGGTGGATGTTAATGTGTGTTTCTTCTTCTTTAGGTAACATGGTGGTGATGGTAGTGTGGAGGTGGATGTTAATGTGTGTTTCTTCTTCTTCAGGTAACATGGTGGTGATGGTAGTGTGGAGGTGGATGTTAATGTGTGTTTCTTCTTCTTCAGGTAACATGGTGGTGATGGTAGTGTGGAGGTGGATGTTAATGTGTGTTTCTTCTTCTTCAGGTAACGTGGTGTTGTTGGCTGTTGCTGCTCTACGATGATGGTGACCAGATGTCTGTCATGGGTGAGCTTAACCCCTTTGTTGACGATGATTTAACCCTTTGAGGACGGTGATTTAACCCTTTGAGGACGATGATTTAACCCTTTGAGGACGATGATTTATCCCTTTGAGGACGATGATTTCACCCTTTGAGGACGATGATTTAACGCTTTGAGGACGATGATTTAACAGTTTGAGGACGATGATTTAACCCTTTGAGGACGATGATTTAACCCTGTGAGGACGGTGATTTAACCCTTTGAGGACGATGATTTAACCCTTTGAGGACGATGATTTAACCCTTTGAGGACGGTGATTTAACCCTTTGAGGACGATGATTTAACCCTTTGAGGACGATGATTTAACCCTTTGAGCACGATGATTTAACCCTTTGAGGACGATGATTTAACTCTTTGATGACAATGATTTAACCTCGTGAGGATTGACGATTGTCCCTTTGAGGTCGATGATTTAAACCTTTGAGGATTGATGATTTAAACCCTTGAGCACGACATTTGAACTTTGAGCACGATGATTTAACCTTTGAGGACGATGATTTAACCCTTGGATGACAATGATTTAACTCTTGAGTGGAGATTAACCTTCAGTAATCGGAGTGAACAAAAGTTATGACAGATGCTGCTGTTGTCATTTCAGATTTGATAATGGATCGACATTCCAAACCCGACATTGTTTATCTTTTTTGAGAATAGTCGATAAAATTGACGATATCAGTCAAACCGATGTCAAGAACCGGAGTGTGGATGACCATGTTAGGAGTAAAATGTGACGAGGATTTGCTATTTAATGCCCTGCTCTGGCACCCAATTACCGTGACGCTGTTGAGAGATAATATAGGTGCTCCTGTCGGCATTTACCACGTGACGCTGTTGAGAGATAATATAGAGGAAGCTATCGGGAAGGACTTAAGGATTTAAAGTAGTTTTTAACAATATTGATACACTCGACGAAACAAAATCTGTAAAAGTAACTCGAGGTTTAATGTAATTCTCAGGGTTTACCTAAAACAGATTGCAGGGTTTATTTTCCGTATTGTAATCTGTGAGGCGCGGGGGTGATTCCAAACTATTACTTAGGAAATTAATTCATTAATAATTCATGGCTTTCTTTTTTTTTAACCTGACAAAGGCCTCATTTAAAATTCATGACTGGACGAGATTGTTTTGTACCGTGTTACTTGTGCTGTGTACCGTGTTATTTTTACTATGTTCCGTGTTACTCGTGCTATGCTCCGTGTTACTAAAGCAGGCGGTTCCGTGTTACTTCAAAGCAGGTTCCGTGTTACTTGTGCTGTGTACCGTGTTATTTTTACTATGTTCGTGTTATCGTGCTATGTTCCGGTGTTATCGTGCTGGTGTACCGTGTTACTTGTGCTGTGTACCGTGTTATTTTTACTATGTTCCGTGTTACTCGTGCTATGCTCCGTGTTACTCGTGCGATGTTCTGTGTACTGATTCCCTTTGTCCTGAGTGAACGTACCTAAATGTAGTCTCTAGGTCACATATAACCCTATGTTAAGCGTAGCATCTCTCCTGTAACTTACACCCAACCTGATAAGTGATATTCTCAAGTCTTCAGTTATGGGAGAAAAAAAAAATACCCCACGAAGTCTTTTGAGAATCCAGGTGGTACACAGGTAAGAGGTGGATGTACAGGTGTGTGGTCTTATTGTACAGGTGAGGGAACCGACTGTGTTGCTTCACTGAAATTCGTAAGAGATTGTCCTATGTTGTTTAGTTATGCATTAGTTTTTTTTTTTCTTATCGTGTTCGGAGTTGTTATACATACCGTTAAGGATAAGTTATTCACACGACCTGTAATACATTATTCATCCTGACAACAGTGTTCTTTATACAGTCCTTGTGCGTTATTCATACAGTCCTTGTGCGTTATTCATGTCTTTAATTCATACGTAATTCTTACCGTATGTATAAATTTTCCTACATGTTTATCAGTAATTCCATACGTTTATTAGGAATACCAAGTGAGTTCCATTCGCGTAATGATCCTTTAGAAGCAGTGTGGAGAAGGGAAGTGATGGGGAGAAGGGGAGTGATGGGGAGCAGGGGAGTGATGGGGAGCAGAGGAGTGATGGGGAGCAGAGGAGTGATGGGGAGAAGGGGAGTGATGGGGAGCAGAGGAGTGATGGGGAGCAGAGGAGTGATGGGGAGAAGAGGAGTGATGGGGGACAGGAGTGATGTATAGAGGAGTGATGGGGGAGAAGAGAGTGATGGGGAACAGAGGAGGATGGAGAGAAGAGGAGTGATGGGGGAGAAGAGGAGTGATGGGGGAGAAGAGAAGGGATGGGGAGAGGAGGGATGGGGGAACAGAGGAGGGATGGGGAAGAGGAGTGATGGGGAGCAGAGGAGGATGGGGAGCAGAGGAGTGATGGGGAGCAGAGGGGAGTGATGGGGAGAAGAGGAGTGATGGGGAACAGAGGAGTGATGGAGGAGGCAGGGTGATGGGGGAGAAGAGGAGTGATGTAAAGAAAGATGACGATATTTATTTCCCATATTTTTACAAAGATATGCATAAAGATGATGACGTGTTATGTTTATGATGACGTATTTTGATGGGGGCAGTGTTTATGATGGGGAGCAGAGGAGTGATGGGGACAGAGGGAGGATGGGGAGCAGATAGTGGTGTAAGAAGAGGAGGATGTGGGGAGAAGGGGAGTGGTGGGGAGAAGAGAAGTGATGGGGAGAAGAGGAGTGATGAGGAGAAAAGCTGTCCTGGAAAAGAGGAGCTGTTATGGGGAGAAGAGGAGTGATGGGGAGAAGAGGAGTACAGTAATCGGTGAACCGCTGGTGTTGTAGTCTACGGGATCGTCAACCCAGATTTCACTTACTATATCCGCTCAGTGTATTGGTTCCTCCCGTTCCCGCTGTTCATCTCCTCCCCCCGTTCCCGCTGTTCATCTCCCGCAGGTCGTCGTTATCCCTTCTCTTTATTCCTTCCCTTCCTTCATCACCGTCGCCCACCTTCTATCCTTCCTTCTCTCTACCTTCATTCTACCATCCCTTCTCTTCCTTCCATTGCCTCTTCCCTTTCCGTCTCTCTTTGCCTCTCTTCTTCCCTCGCCCCCTCTCCATCCCTCGCCCCTCTCCCTCCCTCGCCCCTCTCCCTCCCTCGCCCCTCTCCCTCCCTCGACCTCTCTCCCTCCCTCGCCCTCTCTCCCTCTCTTCCCCGTCTCTCTCACTTCCTCCACCACCTTCCTCCCTCTACCCTTTCCTTCCTCCATCTCTCCTCTCCCTTCTGTCTTTCCTGTATCCCCTTTCCATCATTCCTCTCTCCCTCTTTTCCGTTACCCCTCTCCCTCTTCCATCACCACCCCTCACCCCTCCCCCCTCCGTAAATGATTGTACTATTATTTTATCGTCTGTTAATTACAAGATAAACAGACAATTTATCAACACCGCTTCTCCTTGGTTGATACAATATCGTGTTTCATTTAGCGCGAGAGAAAGTTTGTTTTATAATGTTGGAAGAGAAAGTTGCTCGGTAAATGTGGGAGTAGAAGAGAAAATTTGTTTTAGAATTTTGACCATAGGTTAGAAAGTTGCTTGAAAGAAAGTTCCCCATAAAAGTAGAAATAGCTGGGAAAGTTTCTTTATACACATAGAAATTGGAAGAGAAATAGTTTTTAAAAATGCAGTGATGGAAGTGAAAGCTCAATTGAAAGAGGAAGTCGTTCTAAAAATGAGAAATGAAATTCCATCATATCGAAAATAAGAAAGAAGTTGTGATAGAACATAGAAGAGAAGTTGCTTAATAAAGAAAATGGTTAAGGAGTTGCCATCATAAATACAATAGTGGATCATGTTGTCACCAGAGCTTGAGTCCATTATCCATAATCGTATCTCTCTCTCTCTCTCTCTCTCTCTCTCAACAATTAATCCAGAGGAGAGTTTAATCTCAGTCCCTTTTGAGGCCTTTTGTGCTTGTCAGTATCTTTCTATGTTCGTCTCTCCGTATGTCATTCTGTCTGTCTGTCTGTCTGTCTGTCTGTCTGTCTGTCTGTCTGTCTGTCTGTCTTCTTCTGTTTGTATTTATATGTTTTTTCTGTTTGTTTTTCATCTGTCGAGTCATTCTTTATATCTGTATTTCTGTCTTATTTATATTTACGTATGTCTGTCCATCTCTGTAACACTGTGTATGAAATGAAACGAATCGATTGTGTTGAAAGTTTTATGATAGTATATGTGACGAGACGTTCATTAGTGGTTCAAATACACGATCGTTAAAATTTTGTTTTTGGAGCTGATATATAAGTCAGTAGGGGGTTCATTAGTGATTCAATTACGGCTTCATTTGAATTATTTTTCCCTCCTTTTATTTTCGTAACAGAGAGATAGATTTATTTTCTTTTTTTTGTGTTTTTTTTTATGAGACTTTTATTGTATGTGGCATTTTTTTCATAATGTTATTGATCATCATTTTGGGAAGGTGTTGTGGCGTTGTCTCGTTAGTGTTGTGGTGTTCAATTTTTTTATAGGATGGGGTTATGGGAGGGCAAAGGTTGTAGAGGGAAGGGGTTGTGGGCGGGGGGATGGGAATGGTACGAATGACATATGATTCCTCACCCCCTCCCATTCTCCCTCCTCCTACCCCTCCCCACTAACCCCCTCCTCGGGCCACACTGACCGCCTGGTGCCAGAGTCGTGCCTGTTAGCCTCCCACCCAGTATGTACGGCTGGCCATGAAGTAGGTGGTAACAATGGCCCTTTAGGGGGATCGGTATCTTACAAAGGACTATTGTGTCTGAATTTGTGCTTGGAGATATGCCGCCTTCTTTCTTCCTTCTTTCTTATTTATTCTTTCTTTTTTCTTCTTCCTTCCTTCTTTCTTCTTCTTTCTTTCTTCTTTCATCTTTCTTCTTTATTCTTCTTCTTCCTTCTTTCTTCTTCTTCCTTCTTTCTTCTTCCTTCTTTCTTCTTCCTTCTTTCTTCTTCCTTCTTCCTTCTTCTTTCTTCTTCCTTCTTTCTTCTTCCTTCTTCTTTCTT